ACGGTCTTCTACTTTCTGCCACCAAGTTGTTGTGTTCCGACGTCGCGTTCTGGTTGCCACCGACGGGGACACACCGTTTTTGTCGAGTAGACGAAATACCAACAATAGTGCGTTCGTGACAGTCCTTCTTGTTCACAGGACAGGGAAGACAGAATTAGTAGTCCGTGTGTTGAGGCAGTCCGTCGTCGACCGTCGTGGCCGAGGTCGGTCCGAGTTACTACGCGGCAGCTTACCCGGTGGTACCGACCTTCCCCATACGGTTACGTAGAGGTGGATACGGAGTCGACCGGGGGGCTGTGGTGGGTTGCAGACTACGTCGTCGGATTGTGGCGGTCTGCGGGGTCGGGTACGGGTGTGTCGGTCGTTGTCGTCGGTGGTTAGGACGGTTGTAGCAGGTTCCGAAGGGTTGTTACCGGCCGTCCGTCGGTTCGGGGGTTGTGTGTGGCCCCGGGTGTCCCCTTTGGTCCCGGAGTCGAGGAGAAGTAGTCGTCGTCAGTGGAGACGTATTGTCGGGGTGGTCGGTCGTCGGAGTCGGTGAGTGGGTGGTTGGTGTTGTTTGTTGTTGTTGTGTTGTTGTTTTCGTCGTCGTCGTCGTCGTCGTCCGTCGCTTGTGTCGTCGTTCGTCGTCGTCGTCGTTCGTTGTCGGCGAGGAACGTCGGGAGGCTTCCATCCGGTCTTTCTGTCTACTCTACCGTCGGTTTCGTTCGTCCTCCGTTGTCGTCGTCCGTTCGTCGTCGTCTTAATACGGTACTACCCTATGGGTACTTAGTGGAGGGTGGCTTACTACCCCGGGATTGCGTCCCAGTACTACGTCTACTACCGTCACCCGGAGCCCGGGGGGTCACTACGTCCGATACGTCGTCCCGGTCACCCCAGGCCCCTTACCGTCTTAGGGTACGTTCTTAGTCGTCCACGAGTCGGCGTCCAGGGAGGAGTTGTTCCAGCGGTACCGTGGTGAGTCGTCCGAGCCCTCGGGGGTACGGTCGTCCGGGTCGAGTACGTCTCTGCGGTACTTACGGGGTGTTGTTCCCAGAAGGTTTACGGACCCCAGTACTGATGGGGTCCCCGGGGTGTCGTTCCCGTACTGTGGTTGTCGTCGATCCATACGGTGCACCCTATGGACCTTTGTTAACGATGCTCACGGGACGTTCTTATGACGCCGTGGGAATTTAGCAGGGGTCGGGGCCGTCGTCGTTCGTCCGTCCCAGGATTGTAGGAGTTCAGGTTGGGGTAGTAACCCGACCGGAATAATTTGTACTCCTGTCGCTTCATTGCGTTCCGGTGCGTCGGCCGTCCGTAGGTCGTCGGTCCACGTCCGTCGTCGTCGTCGCTCCACACGTCGTCGTCCCGTCGTCGTCCACGTCGTCGTCGTCCACCGTCGTCGTCGTCGCGTCTTAGTCCGTACGACCCCAGGGCGTCCGTCCTTACGTCCGTACCGTCGGTACCGTTTGGTCCACCGTCTCCGGTCACTACCGTGGAGCTCGTCGGGTCGTCGTCGAGGAGGCCCGTCCGTCCCGGGGTCCCATACCCCCGTTGGGTACCCGTGGAGGTTCCGGTCTACTACTTACTACCGACGGTTTTGCCGTTAGGGGTTTACATGCGTCTGTCGTCGACGAGGCAACGTCCGTCTACGTTCGTCCGTCGTCCGCGTCGTCGTTCCGCGTCGTCGTTCCGCCCCGTTCGTCCCTCCGTACGAGTCCCGGTCGTCAGTCCAAGGGGGTCCGTCCGCGGCCCACGGTCGTGGATGAGGTTGAGGCATACGTCGTCGTTTACCGATACGTTCCTCCGCGCCCCGGTACCCCTGTCGAGGGAGGGTGCATAGTTACCCAGTCCCGGCCATTTTTATTTTATTATAATATCTTCTCGTATCTTCTCTCCTCGTTTGGTTTTTTTTAGTCTGTCTTGTTAGGATTCGTTTTAGGTTCGTCGCGTTGAACGAAGTTTCTGCCGTCGTCGTCTGTCGTCTACGATTTTCGTTCTTTTTGTCTTTACTCCTTTTAGAGGTGTTTTTTTTTTTTTTTTTTGTTGTTCTTCTGTTTTTTTTTTGAGTCTTCTCTTTTTTATGTGTTTAGTTTTTGTTTTGTTATCTGAGGGTTTCGTTTCTCTCGGTTTCTTTTCTCTCTCGAGTGTGTTTTATATGGACCTGTTTCTTTGTTTTTTTACTCGTTTGTTTGTGGATCCTTTGTGTTTCTAGTCATTTATGGGGTTAGTCGGGTTCGTCACGGTTAGTCGTGTTGGTCATGGCGGAAGACGTCTGTCGGGTGGTGTCTGTTATATGTGTCAGGGTTAGTTTTTTTTTTTTATATTTTATTTTTTTTTTTTTTTTTTGTTTTTGTTTGGTGTTTTGTTTTCGTCCTTATTTTGTTTTTTTGTTTTTTTTGTTTTTTTTTTTTTTTTTTTTTTTTTTTGTTTTGGTTGTTCTTTGGTTTGTGGAGTCGTTGCCGGCGGGATGGTGAGGTCCGAGGCGGTGGGGTCGGAACCTCCGGCTACAGCCCAGGTACCTGCGGTCCCTGTGTACCCATGTGGGACTTCCGTCTCAACGGTACGGAGGGTGTGATTTGTGCGGTTTCGTCTCCTCCCAACTCATACTGTACCCATACCACACGCCCTGGGCTGTCTCTGTGCGACCTTTTTAACAACTTCCTAACATCGTAAAAACCTGTGCTTCTTTCCGGACAAGCACAAAAGGTCGGCCTCCTGAAAAACATGAGACGACTACATGTTTTGCGATTTTCTTTAATGTTGTATTACTCAGTATCGCGCTCGCGGACTGGTCTGGAACACTTGAAAGGAATTTCGGTTCCCTGACCGAAAAAGAAGGGTTGTGGTCTCTCCTAAATTTTCTTCTGCTGTTCTTATATTAAAAAACCAAGTCTGGGTCGGTACGTTATTAACGCTACAGACAACAACAAAAGTAAACAAAGTAAAAATGGAGTGAGCAGTTGGCGTTGCGGCACTGGCAGGCGTGGACCAGGGACTGGATGCAGCGCTGGATGCTGAGGCGTCGGCTCTCCTGGGGGCTCTTGGAGGCCTCTCCACCCGGACCGTTGCTGTCATCGTCCAGACCAAGACCCCACTTCACCATCTGGTGCTCGTGGCCCTTGATGTTGTAGCAGTTGATGCATAGGTCGTAGTCCTGATGGAAGGTAAGGAGAACACATCAATGTTATGTTAAGATTTACATTTCATTCAAAACTGATATAGATGATCAAAACTATCCGTTTTTTGCTGTTGTTCCCTACCTCACAGACGGTGCAGTGCCAGCGAGTCTCTACATGGTGCTTGCACTCATTGCAGGTGTATACAAAGCGGTCCTGGCCCTGGTTGTGTAGTTCTACCAACATACACATTGTGCTCCATTTGCACCTCCTCAGTGAGCTGAACTCCCAGTGCTTGTCCCTGGCTAAAGTCAGAAAGGCATCGCGGCCATCCATCAGGTCACAGGTCAACAGAGGATCGGGGTCCATGATGGGAGGCAGGGTGTTAACGACCGGGCCGGCATGGAGGTGGATAACAAAAAACACCTGGTAGTAGAAGGGAGGAGAAATGTAAAGGTAAGTTGTTAGGACGGTTAAAATGTACTGTTACAAATAAGAACTCTGAAATCAATAAGTCGGCAAGAGTTAAAATTGTGGGTGTGATACACAACACGCACCGTTTATAGAATTTAAAGAAAATCAGGAAACCTTTAAAAAGATGTTAATAGAAAGTATCTGCACTACTCTCTAAAGCCAATGGGTCCTGTTGTATGTACATACGAGCAGAGTACCAATAAGATGTACAGTTAGGACAAAATAACATGTTCTTTGCAATTATTTGGTCAACTGCTTGGTTTAAAGGTGTCAATTTTACTTTAATGGTATTTACCTAAATATTTAAAAGCACTTTAGGGTTTTTTACCTCCTTATGTTTCTCCATCGAGGCGTAGAGTTTCTGAGACAGGTCATTGGCTACATTCGGCATCCCAGGCTTTTTCTTATTGGCTCGGCTGACGCTGCTCTTGTTTTTGTTGGTTTTCTTACTGTTCTTCTTTTTGGCATTCTTGGTGTCAGCTGGGGCTCCCTTGAAATAGATAGACATGAACGTTAAGAGCGATTGCAAAAAAGACAAGATGAGGTTATGCAATTAAGATGAGTGGTTATACAATGCCCGAATGACTGCTGAAAGCTTTCATATAATGACGACTTGAGGATGATAACATCTGGGGTGAAAAAGAGTACGAAGCACGGGGCTGTTGATTTCGGAATAAGAGCGTTCTTTTTTTTTTTAAACCCATTCGATCGTGCTATCCGTCTAACTCACCTCTGTGGTCTCAGTGCAGGCCGTGTTCTCCTCCTTCTTCCTCTCTTCCTCCTCCTGCTCCAGCTCCTTGATGCTCTCCTCCAGTACATTAGGCCAAAAGTCACCCTCAAAGTACGGCAGCTCGTTGGCAGTGGTGATTCGGTCTTCAGTTGCCTGTTTGAATATGTCCTGAACACAGAAACAAAATACGTCCATCACAACACAGCTCTAAAAGACAAGTTACCTGCAATCAACACCAGCTCAAATATAAAACTTTCAAAAGCTTCTTCCTGGCAAATTGTTAAAAAAACATCAGTCCTAATAGAGTGCCACAGTGACGCGTCCTAAAACCCGGAAGTAAACTCCTTCCGGTTCCTTCGACAAAAACCAATGCAATTTTCCATAGGATTTTGGAAAATAGACAGATTACGTTTTGTTCAGCCGGATAATATCCACATGTCTACCCTACTTTTATAATTTTCTAATTATAAATCTATCGATTAGATTTATGATTTTTGTCGAAGGAACCGGAAGTGGTAAAATGCTAACTTACTTCCGGGTTTTAGGACTCGTCACTTGTGGCACTCTATGGAGCATACTGTACAAAAATCCTTCAATTATTTATTTGGAAATAATCAATACCAACCACAAGGGGGAGCCCCTCTATACTGCACACTTCTGGACACAGTGACATGCTGATAACTACTATTGGTCTCGTCAGCAGGGACTTAACTACTTTAATTGACTAATTCATCCCATTATGCTTTTTTAGTATAGAGGGTTGTCTTCATTTCAACCGATAAAAATGCCAATAACTATAGATATGTTATTTGAAATGATCGATCACACAAGTGGATGATGATAAACACACCACACCAATGACAGTGGCATACTTTCATAGAGCTGACGGCCAATCAAATCCATCTGCAGCACATGCTTAGCAGCACTGTTAACTAAACATTATGGTCCATCAGTGGGGATGCCAACGTTGTATTATTAGTTAATTATTTACTAACTAGTTAAATAGTTAATAATTATATAGTTATTGTTCTTGGTGTGGAAGGCTGTTATCTGTAAAAAGAAAATACGATCAAACGGATTATTAAATTAGATCATCTGGTTAAATCTAAACTATCATTCATACACGAGTAGCTGTGAACCACCATGTCTCCATAAAAGAAACTGGATACAATATAGTTTTTTGAACAGTAAACAAATATACTAAATTATCTTCTCGTACTTCAGCCTACTTTAGAGTAGACTCTTTACTTCATACATTTTTTTATTTTTTTTTATTGATACGGTAATATGGTATTGTATGTGACTGACGGCTAATCACAACAGACACCCAGACTTACTCACTGTACAGTTGAAAATGGTGGCAACATTTAAACTCTAATTATGAGAATCTTGAGACTGAATATTGCACTTTTGCTCATTTTCTGACCTTGTAGTCGTGCAGGATCCTCTCAGCGAAAGCCTTGTCCAGCATCTTCCTGTACCACTCTTGCAGCCTCTTGGGTTTGGGGATCTTCTGGTCGAAGGGGTGGCAGTGAAAGATGTAGTCATCTCCTTCACTGGGGGGGCAGGCCCAGATGTGACCCATCACATACCTGAGGGCAACAAGAGTTGTTTAGCCAATTGCAGGAATGATACCTAAAGTATTATCTGAGATTTTGTGAAAACTATGTTCAACGAACCCCAGTTTCTTCACATACTCCAGGTAGCCTATTAATATCTCATGGTACACTGCAGTCCTTAGTGCACGTGGTCTGAAGAAGTGAATACTGTCGAGGTATGATATGTAAACCCGTCTGAAAATCAAATATAAAGGATTAATCAAAGAGGAAATACACACAAAATGCCCCAAAACAACTGAGAAAAAACTGCATAAATCCACTTGTTTCTCTAGTTATACCTAGTATTTGGAAAGGGGCACTCCGAGCCGTACTCCTGGACGTGCATGCCGAAGAAACAAACGTCCACGCCGTCTATTTCCTCGAATGCAAAAAGTGCTTTGGTTCTGTAAGGGAAGGTCTCCACCATCTCGCCCGAGTCCACAAACCTGGGGAAATAGAGGCGGCAAGTAAGTTACAGTTTTTAGAACTTAACTTTAACATTTTAAAGATGACAGGAGAAAAGATCATCTCCATGGTCCGGTCTGTCATGCATGTTTGTTTGTTTGTTTTATTGGATATAAATATGTATAAGATAAGAGCGATAGACATGTGGTTTGTATTTGAAATTCATTAAAAGAACAAATGCTAGGCAACAGTCTCTCTCGAAGAAATTCCCAAAATCAATGCTTTAAGGAAGATGGCTTTAACAGAAGGTGTGATGTGGAAAGCTCTACTCACTACTTATTTATTTAATTATTTGTCACTAGGTGAGTTTAATCATCTTTATTCACTTTACGGGATTTAGAAGATTTTACATTTATCAATAACATAATACATCAATTATCAATTCTTAAAAAGGTTTTTAAAAACCCTCCACTTCTATCCTGGTTTGCTTCTCAAACAATAAAATAAAAACGACCATGTTTTCTACACTGAACCAATAGAGAGTCAAGACTTTATCAGTAGTTGAGTAACTTACCTAGACTTCATGCCAGGCTTGATCTCCACATTTTTGTCAGAGCTGGCCACGACTCGCACAAACACCTCACCAGCCTCTGGGTGGTTCTGCCTTTTCAAGTACTTATTCACTCTGTCCTCAATGTACGTCCCCAACCGGGTCGTCTGCAGTCCTTTACAGAGACCCGCGCAAAGACAACAACAAAACGCCTTTAATATCATGACAACTTGAAACAAAGAAGAACTATATGAATTCAATGTTACTGCTGTTTAACTGGACAATGTACAATGAAACTCACTTCTGGCAGAAAATTTGTTCTCCTTTCTTGTTTTGCCCGACTTCTTCAGACAGTTGTCACAGATAAAGCTAGAAGACGAAACATCAAACTGGAGTTAGAGTCAACTTAAGGTAACGCAGGCAATTACACAATTCAAGTAAGAAGAAGTAAGGGTTTGGTACTCTGCCAGTTAAGAATTCTATTAAAGTTAAACGTAGACTTTATATACTTAAATGGTTGGATAGTCATACAGCCGTAGCGAGACTTACCCTGATGGCCAAATGACATCGTAGTGCAGCACACAGATCTGATGCATCTTTCGCCCACAGTCTTTACATTCAACAAACCTGATGAGGACAAAAATGTGATGTTTCTGTGCTTTCCTTGCGTAACGTAATAAAGAAATATCACTGCCACAACATTAATGAGAGTCAAACTGTAGTAACTGTGCAGACAGTACTCACGGTTCAGGGTCCAACATGTCATTTTTCTTCTTTTCAAACTGCTCTTTTGATATCATGCTGCACAAGAGATAAAAAAAAAACAACCATGTTAATTGTGCCCTTGTGATTAAAACCCCTCTTTAAAAGTAGAGAGAAACCAGCCGGATAATCTCGGCATAGGATCATCGGGTGGAGTCTGGCCACCCGGCCTGGTAACTTACGTCTGTTGCTGTGAGGGGTCGTCCCCCAGGGTCACGCTGTTTCCCTGGATCTCGTTGAAGCACTTCTCGCAGAAGTGATACCTGTCGGAAATAAGGCCATATTTGGGTGAACTGCACACAGCACACACAGTAGCAGAACAGGCAAACCGGCGTTAAAGTTAACGGAGAACATGGAAACAACCGAGGACAGAGCATGGGCAGCGGACGCACACACACACACACACACACACACACACACAGACACACACACACACACGTTAGTGACATGGTCATGAGCCTGCCACTTTCCTTCAAACTGGAACAGTAATTTGACAGAAACATTTTTATGTCAAAAACTAATTAACAGAGAGTGCTATACCATCTAAATGCATGCTGAAATATACATTTAAAGAAGCTCTCCACTACATTCATGTATAACTAAAGCAACATGCATTATTAGCAGATAAAGAAAGATATGGTCATGCAGTGGGAAACAGTGTGAGTGATACTCAAAAACAAATAAGCCAGATAACTTTTGTAGGGACGGTTTATATTATCACAGGTATTTCTTTCTTAAGAATTTAGATCAAAATCTGGTCAAATTATAAAACCTTGCTAAGTACACTTCTTTGAAAATATAAACATTAACAATATATATATTTTCAAATGTTTTTAATCTTAAGTTGTTCAAAGTAACACCATTTGGTAGCGAGTACTTGCAACAACCGAATGGTGTTGCATTGGAGTGATGGAGGTGCAGATGCAGTTTCTGCCCAGCAGGGGGAGCTTTGGTGCTGGTTCTTTGACAAAACAGACATACGGACAATGTGGGGCTAGATAATGCCCATTCTGCTCGGCCACAATATACAACTCTAAGTGAGGTGACACCCCTATAAAAGGAAAGGTCATGTGAATAACATCATAAAAACTTTGTTGACTTGTATGGCTGTTTGTGTTGTCTTGGGCCATATTTAGTCTTTGAGGATATAGCCGCCCTTTTTCTCTTTATAAACCACCCTTCACCTCTCTACCTCTCAGCAAAGTCGCTATATCATTTACCTGTTCTGGTAGCTGTAGTAGGTGCCGTCCCTGGAAATGGTACACAACTGTTTGCCATAGCAACACAACGTCTGGGGTGAGAACTCATACTGTGGAAAAGTGAAGAGAGTCACATTAGCATCCATGGCATTGGCTCAAGTCAACATCCACATACAGGTGAAGACAACCGAGAAGTTAAATGGTGGTCCAGGTGTGTCCTGAAACATTCAGGAACAAATGCCCAAAGATCTGGTCAAATATTAACTTTTGCAATTGATTGAAATAAGAAATAGAAAGGCTATATGAAGAATGACATCATTAAGGTATTCAGATTTATAATGTTTTCATTTGGTGCAGATTCTGCCACACACTATAATCAATGAAAGGTGTGAGAGCAGTGTGTGGGTAGCGTGTGTACACCACAGAGATCCGCTCTAAAATCAGGTCAGGCTTCTATTTATATTTTTTTATTCAGTGTGTTTACACAGAAATGGGTCATTAAGTGTAATTTTTTTAATTATTATTATTTACTACCCAGTGTTTCTCCTAGGTTTACTGCTTTGGGGGGGGTGCTGCCTAAGCGGGGGGGCATTGGGATATATTTTTTTAAATCCTCTGGAGCAGAGAGAGGAGCTGTGGATTATTGTTATTGATTAGTGCATCAGTGTTTCTTAGGGTCAAAAACACTAAAATAACAACTTAAAATGAAAGCGTTTAGTTTATTTAATAAAAGAGCACATGTTCAATTTGAAAAGTGACAGTAGATATAGATTAGTTGCAATTTCGCTCCAAAAAATGTAATTAAATCATAATAATATATTTTTTTATCATTAAACACCTTGAATTTGAGGGGGACGCGGGGCTCCGTTACCAATCTACAGATTATTACTCATTGGCAGTACGAGCTGGCAGTTTCTTTGTATCTGTATCCCTTAAATTGCTGTAGACTGTAATTAAATCATATTACACAAAAGGCTTAATTGCATTTCGGAGAAAACGTGTGAGTCACAAATGCCCTTCATGCGAAGAAGGTGTAGCCAGTACAAATGTCAAACTTAAAAGGTCCCCTATTATACAGTTTATAATCAATATATTATAGTTCTCAGATATATACAAACATGTCTCTGAAGTGTTTGGCTCGAAATACAAAACAGATCATAAATTGAAGCATCCCATAATCCTCTCTGTTTCAGCCCTCTGAGAGATATTTGGTTCAAAAGAACACAATGGTGCTCTAGGAGGAAATTCAGGTGATAAGGTGCGTGTGGGGGGGGGGGGGGGTTACCTTGGTTGGTGATTGGCTAATGGTTACACAAGCCAAAAAAATCATTATGACATCATAAAGTGGCCAAAATCTGATCAGCTCATTTTCAGACAGGTTTTTATATAAATGGATCAGGACAAAAAGAGAGCAAATCTTTCTTCCTGAAAATGTCTGAATCTCTTTACACAGA